ACCCATAGGAGTTTCTGTCTCTAAAATTATCAAATACAGAATATATGAAAATGATAATGAAATGAAAAACCACAATGAATATATAAAGGATGAAATTTTAAATTGAGTATTCCAAAAGAAACTACAAACTGTGTGTAGGCAGATTTGAAAAAGAACCAAATAAAACTTAATAAAATAAAATTTAGTGTTAAAATAAATAATAAAATTAATGATATGTTAAATAGTGAACTCACAGAGAAATGGACAAATGGAATAGAAAGAGACCTATTTTGTGTATGGAAGTTTAATATATAGTCAAGGTAGCACAAGAAGACTTTATTTCACCCTATTCTTTAGCAGAAATCAGCAAACTATACCTGTGGGCCAAATCCAGCCCACCATGTCCATTCAATTGTGTACTGTGTTTGGCTGCTTTTGCTCAACAAAGCAGTCTTATACAGTTGTGACAGAGTAGTTGTGATGGAGACTACATGGCCCTCAGAGTCTAAAATATTTACTATCTGGCCTTTTACAGAAAAGGGTTTTTTTGACCCTTGTTCTTGAAATATTGTTTTGCTATGTTTACAATTCTAGGAAGACTCAAATCTTAAAGATAATAATTCCTTCCAAAGTGATTAAAAGAGTCAATGAAAATGCAATTAAAATCCTAACATATTATTTTGAGCAACTTTATAAGCAATTCCAAAATTCACATGAAAGAATAGGCACCAAGGAATAGTCAAAAGAAACATGAAGAAGGAAGACGAGGAGGAAATGGTGGAGGAAATTACCCTACCAGATATCACAAGTTATTATAATTATATGGAAATTATGAGAAAATGACATTGTCTCAGAAATAATCATAATTATAATCATTAGTGGTAATAGTACCAATAAGACTTATATAGCACTTCCTATGTGCCAGGCACTAATACATATTAACTAATTTAACCCTCACAACAACTTAAGAGAATAGTGTTCATTTTCTCCATTTTACAAATTAAAAACTGAATGACAAACAAGTTAAGTAATAAACAAATTAAACAATAGAGATTCCAGTAAGAGACTCAGTGTTCTGTTCATCCAATGCTGTGTAATAAATCATCCCAAAACTTAGTGGCTTGAATCAACAACAATCATTTATTATCTCTCATAGGATCTTGTTAAGTTGCAGTGAAATGGTAGCAAGAGCAGGGGTCATCTCAAATGTATTGGTGCTTGGGCTGGGAAGATTCAAACAGCTGGAGGACTAGAATGTTTGGAGCACCTTACGCCTTTCTACTTTAACATGATTTCTTCTGCATGGTGGCTTCAGCATAGTCAGAATTTTTCCATGGTATCTTAAGGCTCAAAAAAGCATGTATTCTGAGAGAGAGCCAGCTGCATCATCTTTTATGCCCTAGCCTCAGAAGCCAGCTAGTGTAACTCCACTGTTGTCACTGGTATGGCCAGATCCAAGGGGAGAAAACAGACTCCAACTTTCTATGGAAGAATGTGCATGTCACATTGTAAAAAGAGCATGTGAAGTAGACTTTATTCCTGTAGCCATCTTTGGAATACAGACTCTGCCACTGTCTGACATACATGGAAACACTGGGACTGAGGTGGAAGCTTAGTGGGGGCAAGCTGGACTATTTTATATATCGTGCTGAGAGAGTTGGCTATATATAAAAAGAAGCAGATTGTATCCTTATCTCACCAACCCCAAAATCAACTTCTGATTGATTTAGGACTTAGATGTGAAAGATAAAACCTGAAAACTGGATAGAAAAACTTTATGGCTTCAAAGTAAGGAAGGACTTTTTTTAAGATACACAAAACGCTAACCATGAAATACGAGATTAGCAAACTTAATTACATTAAAAAAGAATGTCTGTTCATGAAAACACACAAGAGAGTGGGGCAGGACATGGAGACTCATGCCTGTAATCCCAGCACTTTGGGAGGCTGAGGCAGGAGAATTGTTTGAGGCCAGGATTTCGAGACCAGCCTGGGCAACATAGCAAGATCCTGTCTCTACAAAATAATAATAATAATAATGAAAAGAAAGTGGGAAGACAAAGTAAAAATTGAGAAAAGATATTTGAAACATTAAAACTGACAAAATTTTAGTATATAGAATATAAAGAACTCTCACAAATCAGTAAGAAAAAGACAGTAGAAAACTGGTAAGAAGCATGGATAACTATTCCACAGAATAGGAAAAAAAGCATGAGCACATTAAAAATTTTTCAACTCCATTAGGAGTGAGAGAGATTCAAATCAATAACAAAATGAGATATACCCAAATATTGGCAAAAATTAGAAAATCTGATAAAATTAAGAAGTGTGATGACATCAAGATGTGGAGCAACCATAATACTTATATTCTGATACTGTATTTATGAAAACTTGAATTTCTACAATCATTCTAAAAGACAATTTTGTACTATCTTGGGAATTTGAACATGCATATATTATATGATCCAGCCGTGCAGGAGAACAGGACAGTTACAAATTGGAATGTTTTATAAGAGAGAAAATGAATGAACCATAGCTATACACAACAATGTGGATAAACCCTAAATATAATATTGATGGATAAAGCAGTTTGCAGACTACATACAACAAAATGAAATGTTCACAAAGGTCAAAACATGCAAATCAGATACATTGTTTATGCATTCAGAAGTAAAAGAAAACCTTTTGAAAAACAAAATACAAAAATTCAGCAAACTTTAACTGGATTGCAGGCAGTAGAGGTAGGAGGATGAGAGTGGAACAACGCACAGGAAAGTCACAAAGGAATCTTAATGTTTTCTTAAGTAGAGTGATGGATTCATGCTTATTCATTTTATTATTGGGCTTCATATTTTGCATATGTTACAGTTACTTTAATCATATCAAATAAAACCTGATAAACATAATGATTAATATAAAACATGTACTACAAAAATTGGTACATAATGGTATAAAGACATATGTTAAACAATGTTCACTGTGGCATTATGTTTAACAGCAACAGACTGGAAACAACCAAAATATTCATACCAGGAGAGTAAATAAATAAATTATGGTACACGTAAAATGAAATGCTTTGCATCCTATTAAAAAGAATGTGGGACATTTGTATAATGTTCTAACACAGAAGTTTATCTTTGACACATTGACTGAAAAAAGGCAGGTCGTAGAGAAGGTTTATATGATTCCATTTTTTGTGAGAAGAAACATTTTATATACATGTGTGTATATTTATACATATAATATGTGTGTGTTTACACATGTAGATAAGCTTTAGAAAAAGTGCTAAAATATACACATTAAAATGTTAATGGTATTCGTTTCTTAAGGGGATGCATAAGGAGAATGGAGAATGTACTTTTCACTGTTTACATTTCTTTATTGTTTGACTTTTTCAAAAATCATGTGCCATTTTGTAAAAAAAAAAAAAAAAAAATTCAAATGTATATTAGGCACAAATCTCCTGTTTCTGACACTTATCACCAGACTCGGCCTACCAAAGCCAATAAATCCCCGTTCTATTTTTTTTTTAGAGGTAATCCAGGCACTATCAATGTTGTAATGAGGGAGCTTCCTGCTATGACTTGGCTGTAAGAGGACTCTTGGGTTATGATTTGGTGAAAAGGAAGTGTATCAGAGAGAATCCTTTTGTCTATGAAGGCCATTGTCACATAATGTGCTCTATCTTAGAGACCACCTAAATATCAGGAAGAAATGAACATGCATTCTTCTTGTCATGAGCAAAAGTTTCCCTCAGGATGCTCATTTAAAGTTGTTTTTTTTCTCACTTGATAGCATTCCTTTTTCGTTCTCCTGGACCTATTCCAACAATACAAGATTGACTGAAGCCCCCTAAGTGTGGTCTTGCCAATGGTTCAAAAGCAGTTCGATGATTTGAACTGTCGCATGTGCTTGTATTTACCAGAGCTGCTCTCATCCCTTTCTCACACCTTTTCTGCTAAACATTGTATCAGTAGGCTCATAGAATGTAAGTATCTAAACCCAGCAACAATATTAAGACATACTATGGTATGCCAAATAAATAAGATGACATGATATGTTCCTTCATATTATTCAATCTAATGACATTCTCCCTCTAAATGTCTTTGTCACAAAAGCTAGAATTTTCCCCCCGATAGCGCTAGTGGCCATTTCATACACAAAAAGAAGGTAGAAGCAAGGCAGTGCCATGCTGATTTTTCTGACTGCTATACTTCTTGTCCATTATAAACCAAAAGCTTTCTTTCTCAGGCTTTTCTTCTCTCCCACCCCCATCAGCCCTTCAAAAGGGCCCTTTGCCTTGTCAAGTATAAAAGAGTAAGAAAAACATCCCTGCTGTGAATCAAAGCCCCAAACTGTCCACTTTCATTTTTTTAAACAGTGTATTATGAAGTTGGAAGAATTGCCACAATAGCAGTATTGAGTGAAGAGCATAAAACATCTTGAGCTGAGAGCATAGCAAAGGTTTTAAGCCTGCTCTTAAAAAACTGAACCTACACACACACACACACACACACACACACAGTCTCCATTTGTGCCAAACTGTGAGACTTAAAACACAAAAGTGGAGAAGATAATATTTATAAATCATTTATGATTTAAACAGACAAAAACTTCCAAAGCAATATGGAGAGTTTAAACAAGACGTGAATTAAAGTGTGACTTAACTGAAGCATAGAATTAATAATTGGTTGTACAAATAGGCCTCACAAAGAAACTTAAGTATAAGTTGATTGGACATTCTGTAGTAGGGAAGAACAGATCTGCAGCTTGGGCTTCCTCTGATATATTTCATAAAGTGATCCTCACTGACAAATTTGAATCCTCTTTGAGCTCCTTTTATGCCTTCTCCTCCTCCTTCTCCTCCTCCTTCTCCTCCTCCTTCTCCTCCTCCTCCTCCTGCTTCTCCTCTCTCCCCATCACACTACATCTTCTGTTCATTGAATTATGTACATGCTAAAAGTTCACTTTCTCTATTACAATCTGCCAAAGTAATTCCACAGTTGGTTCTGCCAGCTTACCTTATAGGTCTTTGGCCCTGACTTCCCACATTTGGCTTCTCCCTGGCTCTCATCACCTTTCTCAGGCTGGGTGCTCTGTTTTCTCTTCTCCCTTTCTCTTGACGACTGCGTTGGGCTCCAAGGTAGTATGAAAAATGAATCCTTTTATATTTGAAAATTATGTCTTTGATTTAGGATAATGAGGCTGTCCGTGGAGAAAAGAAAAAAAAAAATGGTAACTACATATTTGGTTGTTAAACGTTAGCCAAACTATGGCCAGAGGGTAGGCTATCTGCTTATGGGAACTACTGGCAGTAGGAGTTTGGACAAAATGTTTGGGCTGCCATCCTACAGTAGCACCATGCTGTGTTATCTTTTATGCCAGGATCTTGTCATTAGAACCAGGGGAGACTGTCACTTTGAAGTACATGCAGAACAAAGCATCAGAAGATTTTTAAAATTGATATGTGAGAGATATGTATTTTTTACTATTAGTTTCTACTGGGAGAAAACACATTTCCATTAGAGATTTCCTAAAAGCAAAAATGAAACCTGAGAAAAGAATTTAAAATTTAAATGGTTATTGGCGAAAATATATTCGTTCTCTGAGAAACTTCTTACAGGTGAAAGTGCCCGATTCATCTATGGTTGCTTGAGAATTGCCAGTTGGAAGGCATCAAACCTCCTGCGGTGTTAGCTCCTCCACTAATGGCACTCAATAACAGTTTAATGATGAACTGTTTGTCAATGTGGTAGTTGAAATTTTCTCCATTTTGTCACTTAGCCATTCGTACGGTAAAAATTCTATGGGTTCATAAATACTAGAAACATTGTTAGGAATAGAGTGCTAGCTGTTATAATCCCCAAAAGTAGATTCATGCCACCTGATTGAGAGCTGCAATTATTTCTTGGAGAAATAAGGCTTAGTTTCTTAAGCCAATTTGCTTCTATCAGAAAGTAACAATACTGCAAACATGCAAGCCAATAAGATATTTGAAGTACAAGAGAATTCTAATCTCAGCAGGACAATGTAAATCTATGTTCTGTGGAATCTTCCAGTCTGGGAAACCAGCTGGGCAAGATTAAAACTTTTACATTTGGCCTTTATGAACTTGGTTCTTTGTAACTGAATAAGAAAAAAACATAATCTTCCTTATGATGGATTTGACTAAGGCATGTCTACATGATTCCAAAACCATAGGTTAGGTTAGTCAGCTCAATCAAACATCCAGTAAACGCAATGGTAAAAAAGAAAAAAAATTCTAAGAAATAAGATACTTTTTTTCCTGTAGCCCAAACACCATTTGACAGATTTTATTTTTCTTTTTGCCAATTGAATTGCCATTGTGTAAAGGGAGCCTAAGGCCATAATTCCTAATCCTGGTTGTGTAACAACTCAAGTTGTCTCCAAGAATGTCAGGTGCTGTCAAAAAATTCTCAAAACAAAATTATTTTTAATTCATTTCAAATCATAAAAATATGCCACATAGCGCTATTATTGGAAGTCATGAACTCAAATGCTTAAAGTGTCACAATTTCAAAGCAGACCAGGAATAAATGATCCAGTCCAACACTGCTATAGAGCTATTTTTCTCTCTAAATTTACAATAGTGAGGCTTTTAGGAATGGGGTAAAACATGTTGATTTTCACTGTAGTGAGTTTTTTGTTTTAGTTTTTTTAACATTTATTTGTTATATTATTATCATTTTTGTTGATGACACTTCAGAAAGTATGCGGCCCATGTTTGTCGGGCATTTGAAAATAATTCTAGCTAGCAGTTATGCTTTCACCTGTATGTAAGGAGATATTTCTCTGGAGAAAATAACTGTATTAAGACTCTTTGGGTTGCAAGTCACAGAAGCCGTCTGAAATTGGCTGAAGTGATCACTGATGATGATGATGATGATGGTGATAATGATAATGAGCCTGATGACAGTGATGATGACAATACATTTTAAAGAATTTTGACTCATAAAACTGAGATGTCCAAGAGTATCTAGCTATAAGCAGGGCTAAATCAAGGAGCGTAAACATTTTCATCAGGACTTGATTTTCCTAATCTGTTGACTGAGCTCTTATCTGTACTTAGTTTGTATGCTTTTCTCTGTGGCGACTTTTCTATATACAGACAGACTCTCCCTGTGTCATGGCAACAGCCCCAGGGTTATGTCAACAAGCTAGCAATGCTAATATAAAGAAATGGCTCAACAAAAAGTCTAGAGCTCGCTTTTTTTTTGCCTTGGGTCATGTCCATGTGGGTGAACAAATGTCTGTGAGGATCATCAGACCTGGGTCATGCTCCTACCTTTGAGACCAAGAGTGCCACATAAATCACATGGATTGAGACAGATGTCCTCAAACTATGGCCCGCGGGCCACATGCGGATGTTTTTGCCCGTTTGTTTTTTTACTTCAAAATAAGATATGTGCAGTGTGCATAGGAATTTGTTCATAGTTTTTTTTAAACTATAGTCCGGCCCTCCAACGGTCTGAGGGACAGTGAACTGGCCCCCTGTTTAAAAAGTCTGAGGACCCCTGGATTGAGAGAACCAGAAGATGTTTGGTCCCTCATAAGAAAATGAGAGTAATACTAACACAAAGATACATGAATAAAGATTCTGGCCTGCCAAAATAAGTAATATATATATATATATTTACTTCAAAAATACACCATGCATATTCCATGTATATATTAATAGTCTTTTATACCCATGCAAAAGTATACATAATAAAAATATAATAATCTTAAATGTTTGTCAAACAGCTACAACATACCAGGCAGTGTGCTTGCCTAACTTCTCTTCCCAAACTGTTAAGGATTGGAGAAAAAGCTGGGATTCTGTTGAAGCTGGGGTCCCTACACAGACAAGAAAGGGAGAAAGAACCTGCAAAAGTTCCTGAGACAAAGGCAAATGGAGCAGAGAAAGGCATGTCATGGAAGTCAGGCCAGTTAAGGCGATGTTAGGCACTTTTATGCATGTTGTCTGAAATCTTCACAACAAGTTGAGGTAGGCTGTATTAGCAGCCTCATTTTGCAGATGAAGAAACTAAGGTTCAGAGGGGCTAAATGATTTGTCTATAAGCACATAACTAGTTAGAAAGAGTCTAAGGCAGGATCTGAACTCAGGTCTGTTATAGCCTGAAAGCCTGTACTCTCTCCACTGCATATTCAGCACTCCTGATTTATATCGTGTTTGCCTTTATACAATTTTAAATAAATAGATAAAATATTGTACTTTAATACTAAGAAGTTATGATGGCTTGAATGCAATGTAAGTAGGAAGAAATGAAGTAGTGCCTTGACACATGAAATCTGACAATAGTAAAAACAGTATTCTATGCTTGAAGCAGAGAAGAGTGAATTCCCTCTTTCATTTGACAAGACTGTTGACAGCACTAACCACATTAACATCCCAGAACATCCTTGATCTCATCATTCCACCCTTTGATTTCAAGATAACTGTACCCTGGAAATTAAATATTGCTCTCATCATTGATGCTGCCTATAATGTGAGTAGAAAGCATTACATTAGCTTTGAAAACTATTTTCAGTAATGTTCCTTTTCCATAGAAGTTAATGTTTAAGAATATCTCATTGGAGAACAAATCACAATCAACCACAGAAATATCGAACAGGCCCATTGCAACCAGTCCACTCCATCACACAGAACATCATACATTATTTATAAAATAAAATCTGGGAGTTATTCCAGAGCATATACCAAAAAGTGGAGATAGAACTTTTCAAATATTTTAAACTTGAAATGGTTACTCTAATACATTAACAATTTATTTACTAACAACATTTATAGTGCATGCACTAGTTTTTTGGTTTTTTTTTTAAGTATCAAGTGCATCTTTCATTATGGTCACTTATGAAATCAGTCTTTCTGTACTTGGAGGTTTACATTTTAGTGGATGGCATTGGACAGATTTCTGTGGTTAAAGTTTGTCAGCAATTTCATTATCAGCATTTCTTTTTTCCCTGTGAGCTATTTCACAACTGCTCTGAGTCGTATCTGGCTAAAACTTGGCATCTAAATTGCCAGCTTAGATAGAATTCTGTCTCAAAGAAAATCCCAGTGTCAGTCTAATGAGCTGAATTGTATACATAGCACAGTTGTTTTTAAGTAGCTCCAATCTCTATTTTTAAACCTAGCTATAACTAAAACATTGCAATTATGATGTACAATCTATTGTTGATAAGAAGACTGTTAGCACATTAATTTCCTAATTAGTTTTCTCAGCTACGGCCAGGAATTTGGAAATCATTATTTTTATCCAAAGAGAAAATCGATTCATTTCAGCAAAGTTGTGGTGAAACTATTTTTGTTTTTTAGTTGTTATTTGGCATAACTCACCTAGTTGAATGTTTGCTAAAGTGTTACAGTTTACCTTCAAACTTTTTGTTTGAACATTGACTCAAGCTGTCTTGCCATAGTTAAAGAGGGACAGAATCAATGCATTGCAGGCTTCCTCTGCTGCTTTGTGTGATAAACACTGTCTAACAAGTCTGGAAAAATCCATTTTGATGCTACTTCCCCAATTAGACCTGTTAAATGGTCTTTGAATGACTGAATTTGGTTTTAGTTTTACACCCAGATACATTGTTAAGCTAATGTTTTAAAGTAGAGTAAACTACAGTACCATTACCATTAATTTCTAGGAAGTGCCTTTTTTTTTTATCAAGTCTTACTATAAGCAAATGAAATTGTAACTGTTTTGTTGAGATTCAGTGTAACTTGATTACCCTCTAACTACTCAGTAATTTTTAGAAATTCTGTTCATTCAGTCTGAACAGTTGCAGATGACTTGTATGTGTATAAGAAAACTGTGTTATTAGCATATGTTCTGAGAATGCCTTTGAATATGTGCACATATTTGGAAGCTCCTGAGGAAAAAATCATGCATTCATTCAAAAACTATTTACTGATGCTCTTTGTTACTATGTGTAAGACTCTGAGGTAGGTTCTCTGAGGGAAGTAAAATGATAAGACGGCATACACGTTCAAGGAACTTGTTCTCTATTATAAGAAATAACATCTACATAAAATCTTAAAAAACAAAGCAATATAGGATAAAGTTCAGATAGAGATTCCAATCCCTGAGTAAAGCTCAGGTCTTTAACTTCTATTTCATTTCTATAATGGGCAATGCAAATGTACTTACTCCTTGAATACAGTAATGCAAATTCTCTTTTTTGATACTAATTGATGAACCCTGATGAACCCTGGTTGCTACACGGTAACATAATTCAATGGGTCAAATGAAACTGCTTCACAAACTTGGCAATTGTCAATTCTTCTGTAGGTTTGGTCAGTAAATTCTTATAGCATTGTAATTGTTAAATACCCAGATTAAAACCAAGGCCATGTAGAAGCTATTAAACTATTGCCACTGAGATTTTATTGTTGTTCAAATTCATATTTCCAAAATGACAACTATATTTAAGCCTAAACTGGTGCCTCTGTCAATCCTGGATCTTTGAAAGTGTTATTCTGTGTAAGTCCAGGTAATGTACTTGGATGAAGCAGACGCAAAACTGAATGGTTGAAAGGCGTGACGTAGTAACAAGAATAGCTTTAAGTCCTACATCAAACACCATAAAATAACTTCACTTGAAAGATTTTTCACTCTCTCCCAGTGGGAAAGCTGATGTTTTCAAATGAAGATTATCCCCCTAAATGTCATCTTTTACCCTAGCTAAAAATGCCATCTGCTTCTGTTGACTATACACTACAGATTCATAAACTCCCACACGATTTCTGAGATAGGAACACCTTAATTGATGGCCGCACGTAATAAAATAAATGTAGTGATGCTATTTATTAGAGTTCAACAGATATTACGAAATTTTAATTAGTACATTCAAAGAATTATGTGATTCAAGAGATATAATGTGTCAAAATATAAAGGTTTACGATTTTGACTACGTATTGAAACTACTTAGAGGTGAAAAGAGAATTAAACACATTTGCTTTGCTTACATTTTCCTGTGCAGGTTAAAATATCACTATGTTCTTTGTTCTTACAGATCTTCTTGTTATAGAAAACTCAGAGTTATCTCCTAATACTTCGCTGTAACCACTAATAAACATGCTTTACACTTGCTGACTTTTTTTTTTTTTTTTTGCCAAAATTGTTTTGTAAGAGTGTATTAAGAAGTTATTGTTCATGATTTAGGCAACAATGGACCTACATTTATTGAGAAGTAACCAATCATTTTTGATAACACATTTAAACTCATGTAATTCTCGCCAATATCATTTAGAAAATGTCTTAGAAACACTAAATCTCTGCCTTTTGAACTGGAGTATGAAGTGGTATGTGGCGGTCCTTATATTAAGAGTCTATTTTATTCAGTGATAAACATTTTTTTTATATTACAACAAGTATGAATATAATATGGGTTGAAATGCAAAATTCATATGATTATTTAGATAAAATATATGGCTTAAAAGAAATCCTTACCCTACAATAGCTCCTAACTCATGCCAGTCCATTCTTACCCTCACCCTGCTGGATGTATCACCTTCTGCTTTTTATAAGAGTACTTTGATGGAAGCAAGCTGAGAAGCAGCAACAAAATTATAACTTGGGAGACAGAAAAAATAATCCAAATTTATAGTGTGACCTTGACTCGCTGGCATGCTCATCCCCAGAAATAGTCTCTTTTTCTATTGTAAAAAATAATATCTAATGTGGTCACAATGTAGTCCTGGGTTAATGATCATAGCATCTCTTGTTGAGGCTATCTGCAGCAGGTACAGAAACAGAAAGCCTGCTCTATTCGCAAGACACCATGAAAGACAAAGGTTACTGTACCTCTTCCCTTGTTCACAGTGATCAAGTAGGGAGTTGAAAGAATTGGAGATAGCAGAAGGGCATAGCTTTCTGGTTGAACACGATTCATAGAGCAGCTTGCTCCTAAGCTGTCAGAATCACAAAATAAATATAAATACTGACTGTGCTTGCTATCTTTAACCTCCTCTGGGCTAGAAGATATTCCTAATTTAACTCTGTGACTAAACAGGCATATATTATCTCATACAATTGTCACAAAGGCCCTACACATGAAGTATCCTCACATACGTTTTACAGATGAGGAAACATTCTTATGAATGTCAAGTAACTTGCCTATGATCACACAGCTAGAATTCTTTTCCTTCTAACACTCTGCTTTCTTTCTTTAACTTCTCATTACTGTTTGAGAATATTTCCTTTGTTATCTATTACAGGTCTTCACACTTCTCCAATTGGTAGTTGAGGAATTTGAACCATGAGACAATTTCCAAGTTCCTTGTTTTAAACATAAGAACTTTTCTTTCATTCTCCTATGAGGGACTAAATCACTTCCCTTTGCACTGAAAAGTTGTTAGGAAATTGAAATCGTGCCTGCTAGGTCCTGGAATGAAACCATCAACTTACTCTGGGGTTAATCTGAATATTTTAATTATTTTTTGAACATAACAATTGCATTTGGAAAAGTTACAACAGTAAAATTAATTATGATTTAAGTATTGGAGCAGTTGTTTTTCTACATGAATTTTTTTACTGCTTCATTGCACACCTACCTGGTGAGAAAATTAAAATATGGCTCCTAATCTCTAATGCAGATATGTTTCCAATTTTTTGAAAAGGAATGGCTTCAGTGTTTGGAAAATGATTCAATGAACGCATACAACAATTGCAGTAAAATGTCTGTTGAAATATGCATTCTGCTGGATATGAGACTAGTCTACTCTTTTCCCATAGTAACTGGCTGTTTTTCAAGTAGGTTAATTGTTCTCCAGTAGCCTGATTTATTTTTCTTTTACTCATTCAAATTTATTCCTGTCTTCTGATAATGTCATAAAAATCAAATCATACAAAATATAAATTAGCATTCCAGTGTATTGAGGCCTTGCTGTCTAATGCTTTACATTCAGAATAGCTCTCTTTATGCTGAAAGAAAATGTCTAGGCAGCAAATAGAAAATGATTGTGTATACCAAGCATCTTACAGTACCATGAATTGCAATAATAACATACAATAAAGAAGAAATCAATGACACAGTATTGGGATATAAACAAGAAAGGGCCAGTGGTCTGGCCTAGGAATTTCTAGTTGTTCCCCAAGGACAGTCTGACAAATGACAGTTTAAGAGCATTCAGAAGACTTTCTTCTTTCTAGTAGTTACATTTGTTTTTAAGTTTGCTCAGGAAAACATAATCACCTAAACATAAAAGACCTATAAAGACAACTCTCAATACAATAAATTGATTTGAGTTCAGTTAAAGTTTTCAAAAATCTTCCTTTGCTTTACTTTTTAAAACTTGGGATAGTGAATTGGTATATAATGTCATTAGGAGAAGAAAATAGTTGGGAATTCATGCCCTAATAAAAATGAATGCTTTAGGCTAAAATTTTTGTTACCACTTATTGATATGTTTCTTTAAAAATATGTTTATTTTTAAATTATAAAATATAAATTATCAATAAGAAAAAATAAGTACCTATAATATCCTTTTGTGATAAATGACTCATTAACATTGTAATCTGTAGACTTTCAGAGGCTTTTTTGCATTTATTACATAAATGAGACCACATTTTTCATATTGTTTTGACTTGCTTTTTTCACTTCACCATAGACCGTAAAGAAAATTTATTTCATTAAATATTTTTCTACCAAATCACTTTGAATGACTGCAGAGTATTCCACTTTATTTTTTATGTCTTCAAAAGTAACTAAGAAAACCCTTGTTTAGCGCATTTAGGATTTTTCTAATTCTTCATTGATACAACAATACTGCACTGAAGATTCTAGGACCTGTATTATGTATTTTTGTATATCAATCTGTTTATTTTATTTATTTATTTATTTATTTTTTTGAGACAGAGTCTCGCTTTGTTGTCCAGGCTAGAGTGAGTGCCGTGGCATCAGCCTAGCTCACAGCAACCTCAAACTCCTGGGCTTGAGTGATCCTTCTGCCTCAGCCTCCCGAGTAGCTGGGACTACAGGCATGCGCCACCATGCCCGGCTAATTTTTTCTATATATATCAGTTGGCCAATTAATTTCTTTCTATTTATAGTAGAGACGGGGTCTCGCTCTTGCTCAGGCTGGTTTTGAACTCCTGACCTTGAGCAATCCGCCCGCCTCGGCCTCCCAAGAGCTAGGATTACAGGCGTGAGCCACAGCACCCGGCCATCAATCTGTTTATTTTTAAGATAAATTTCTGCAAGTAGATGTCCCAAGTCAAAGAATAGCGTATTCTTTTTTTTTTTTAATGGCTCATAGGGTTGTAAGCATTTTATTAAGGCCAAGCCACAACTTTCTCCAAGTCACTCCTTGAATGCTGCACGTGACATCTAGGGCAGAAGTTAGGCACACGCACACACACACACACACACACACACCCCTGAGCCAGCCAGGATTCCAACCTGGAATCTTCTAATCTGTAGTCAGACACGTTATCCATTGCGTCACTGGCCCTGTGAGAATAGCCGTATTCTTAAGACTTTTGGTACATAGTTCCCAAATTCTCTCTGAAAAAGTTTTATGAAATAAAATTCTTACCACCAATGTGTGGGGGTATTTATTTCATCTTATGCTCCCCAATGTTAGAATACTACATTCGAAATGGCATTAGTAATTTTATTATTTATTTTTTTTAATTTCAGCAAATTACAGGACTCCAAATGTTTACATTACATATACTGCCTTTGCCCCACCCGAGCCAGAGGTTCAAGCATGTCCATCTTTCAGATCGTGCGCACCATACCCATTAAGTCTAAATATTCCCATCCCTTCCTCTCCCACCACCTGCCCAATAACCAATGAATATTACTACTGTATGTGACATAAGTGTTGATTAGTTAATACTAATTTGATGGTGAGTACATGTGATGCTTGTTTTTCCATTCTTGTGATACTTCACCTAGTAGAATAGGTTCCAGCTCTAGCTAGAATAATACAAGAAGTGCTAGCTCACCATTGATTGTTGTGGCTGAGTAGAACTCCATAGTATACATATACCACATTTTATTAATCCACTCATGTATTGATGGGCACTTGGGTTGTTTCCATATCTTTGCAATTGTGAATTGTGCTGCTATAAACATACTAGCGCAGATGTCTTTTTTATAGAATGTCTTTTTTTCCTTTGGGTAGATGCCCAGTAATGGGATTGCTGGATCAGATGGTAGTTCTACTTGTACCTCTTTGAGGTATCTCCATATTACTTTCTACAGAGGTTGTACTAATTTGCAGTCCCACCAGCAGTGTATGAGTGTTCCTATCTCTCCACATCCATGTCAACATTTATTTTGGGGGGAGCTTTTAATAAAGGCCATTCTCATTGGTGTTAAGTGATATCTCATTATGCCTTTGATTTGCATTTTCCTGATGATTAGAGATGTTGAGCATTTTTCATATGTTTGCTAGACATTAGTCTACCTTCTTTGGAAAGTTTCTGTTCATGTCTTTTGCCCACTTTTTGATGGGGTTGTGTGGTTTTTTTCATGCTGATTTTCCTGAGTTCTATATAGATTCTAGTTATCATCCCTTTATCAGATGTGTAACATGCGAATATTTTCTGTTGCTCTGTAGGTTGTGTGTTTGCTTTTGTGATAGTTTCCTTGGATGTGCAGAAGCTTTTTAATTTGATCAGGTCCCATTTGTTTACTTTTGTTGATGCTGTGATTGCCTAGGCCAATGTCTATAAGAGTTTTTACAACATTTTCAACTAGAATTCTTACAGTTTCAAGCCTTAGGTTTAAGTCTATTATCCACTGTGATTTGATTTTTGTGAGAGGTAAGAGGTGTGGATCTTGTTTCAGTCTTCTACATGTGGCTAGCCAATTTTCCCAGCACCATTTATTGAATAAGGGTTCTTTCCCCCCAGTGTATGTTTTTGTCTGCTTTTTGAAGATTAGATGGCTATATGAGGATGATTTTATATCTGGGTTTTCAGTTCTGTTCCATTGGTCTATGTCTCTGTGCTTGTGCCAATACCATGATGTTTTAGTTATCATAGCCTTGTAGTATAGCTTGAAGTCTGGTAAATTGATCCCTCTCAATTTGTTCTTTTTGCTTAAGATTGCTTTTGCTATATGGAGTCTTCCGGGTGTATGGGATCTGGCCTGCAGGCCTGTCCCCCCAGCCCCAGAGATCAATCCCCCTGACTCTGCCAAGGAGAAGAGTTATGGTCTCAAGTCATCCATGGGGTGCCCAAACTGGATCAATATCTCTCCACTGTTGTATCACAAGGATATAAAAACATGCCTGACATGTACTTGCCATCAAATTGGTACTAACTGATCAACACTAAGGTGCTCACATGCTAGTAATACGCATTGGGTGCTGGTCAGGTGGGACGTGGCCTAGGGAAGGTAAATCCACAACTAATGCATACAGAGCACACTGTATGGGGGAAGGGCACCCTTGTAGCCCTGGCTTGGTTGAGGCAAATGCATTACATGTAACCAAAATGTTTGTGCCTCCATAATATCCTGAATTTAAAAAAAACATGGCTATCCACCTCGGGATTTGCCCCACTCTGTTGGAGTCACCAGGCAGGCAGCACCTGGGAGGGCCAGCAGGTAGGGAGCTCACAATCCTAGTACCCCTCAGTCCGCTGCAGGGCCACAAAAGGAAAGGTCTCGTTCCCTGTGGATGCCTCCAGTGGTGGCTAAATTGTCTCTCTTGGCAGCCGCGGGTAGGGGAGGGAAGGGAAGAATGAAGCAATATGGTGCCTGCTGATGGGCTCAGGTCTGCGAAGTGGGAGATATGGTATCCCAAGGGAGCTGGGAGCCCAGTGCCCTGTCTGCTATTGGCTCACCACTCACTAGCAGCAGTTGTCTCTGCGCTCGTGTCAACAGGTCTCTCTAGCAGCTCAGGAGCCCACTAGGAGTCCAAGATGGAAGGGAGGGGAACCTTAACCACTCCACCTACCCTTGTCACTGGTCTCAAAGCCTCTTAGTTAGACCCTGCTAATTCCTTTCTCTGTCCAGTTCTGCTGTGCAACTTCTTCCCGTGGAGTCTCTTGAAGGTTCAGGAACCCTTCCTTCTAACCCTCATCTGATCTATGTTTGTCTGCCTGTTCATTTTTTTCCATTTCATCTAAAATCTTGCTTTCTTGCAGAGACACTCTGGCTGGAGGTTCTTTTTTTCTTTTTTTATCTGCCATCTTTAGCATGTGTCTGGCATAAGTAATTTCAAATGTTAATGTTTCAGGTGCCAGGCATGTGATATATATCCCAATTATAAACCATTATCCAGGTGAATATATAAGATGAAGTGTAAAAACAACATGGAACATCATATAGAAAGTTGTGAGGAGGTTATTTTTTCTAAGATAGTGGATTGGAGGCTTTGTTAAAGTGCCTCAACCACTTGGAAAGAGCAAAATAGTATGCAGAGATTCACACTGGGAACTTTTATTCAAGTAGGAACATGGAAGCTCAACAGAAAAAGTGAAAGAAACTTTGGGTAATTTGAAAGGAGCAGTGGGCAGCCGCCTGCAGTGTGGGCCTGGCGGAAAACTGTGACTCTCAAGAGTGTGAAAGGGGGAGAGACTTTCTCTGTGATACATATTCCCATTGGGAAGCTGGCAATCCAGGTTACAGGGGAGCTCCTTGACCCTACTCAGTGCTGTATCTGACTTGGCAAGTGGTGGGCAGTCTGTGAGAAGGAATAGCATAAGAAGTGCTTTGTGTGCTCTCCCAGACCTTGGCATCAATAGAAGGAAGCCATTCCTGATCCTAACTCATAGGGAACCTCAGGGAAATCTACCAGCTAACACAGACTGCGGTCATAGTTTGCATAGTTTGGGAGAAATCCCTGAGATTAGCAATCTAATTTAGAGGGGTCGTATTCTCACTGTTAAAATGGAGAGGGGAGCAGTGAGAAGGCTATTGACATGGACAGGAGAGCTGAGCACTCCCCTTTGTTGGCCCAGTTTGGGAGACGTGTGGCATGGGAGCCCTGCTTTCTTTCTAGGGCAGGGAGTCTTGCAGCCTGGCCAATTTCATGATCTGAGCAGGGACTGCTTGGGACTCAGCTGGCTTTTTTGGTTTTCTGCCAGTAGCAGGTCACCGTGAAATATCTGCCAGGTCAAATGCATGGGAGTTGGGCAGGTCCCACTGCCACCTGCTGGGCTGTGGAGTTGGGCTGCACTTCTCTCCCCAAGTGGGCTCTTGTGCAAGAGTGGCAGTTCCACTCCTTCCTGGAACATTTCCCCAACAGCAAGGGAATTGCCTCCACCCCTGATGGGGTTGCCCCATTGTGCCACCACTTGTGCCACCATTGGGGAGCAAAAACATGGGCTTGCCTGACCCATCCCCCATTCAGCTTTGCCCTTCAACCTGCCTTGGTGGCAGAATGTGGGACAGAGACCCCTGGGAATTTCATGACCCCTCCCATTGGCTGAGACATCTAAGTACTTCTCCTGGTTAACAGAGGTCAAGCATAAATACCACCACCAACAACACAGCCAGCTTTTTCCTGCAAATGCCACCTACTAGCTAGGAGGACAACCTGCACAGCCCATTAAAACATCTGCTGACATAATTGCTCAATGCTTAGAAAGAACTAAAGCTTTGTACTACCTCAGCTACCCCCATTGCCCACACCACTCTGGCTACTCAAGAGGCCTTGAAATCATACACAGTCTACCCCTGCCATGCCCATGGGGAGTAGTGCTTGTACTCATCATTGGGAGCATTGAGGGCACACCAGCCTGGCCCAGCTCTGCTCAGCTTTACCTAACCCTACGACTGGGAGCAGAGCCCAGGCCACTGTATATCCCTCAGAGGCATCCATGGCCTGATGTATGGGAGAGTTTCATCAGGTAAAGAAAGATAAAACATATACCCTATTGCTGCCAACATAGCTCTTACCTGCAAGTGCCATTTGCTGGCCTGGAAGTCAAAATGCACAACCCAATACATAACTGGCTGATGCAAGTACTCGGCATTTGAGAACATAATAAGTTTCTCAAGACCTCTGCCTCTCCATCTCCAAAGCAGGCCAAGGGCCTATCATATACCCAGTACACCAATGTACAAATAGCATCTGAGAAAACCACCACACTTAGACTATCTCTAACCATGGAATTCATACAGAGCTTTGGCTCCTGAAAGCACTCAGAAGGAAAAATCCAAGGAAATCCAATATACATTACAGTCATATCCTTAAGGGGGAAAAAATGTCCCATCCAAACAAAAGTAAATTCAAAAATAAGTAACTGTTTCTCCAGATAAGAAGGAACAAGCATAAAAATTCCAATAGTATGAAAAATGGATCTTAGCCAAAATGAAAATTAAAAAATCTCAGATAAAAAATTCAAACTATGGATTCTCAATGAAATCCAATAGAAATCTGAAGAACAAAAACAAAGAAATCAGAAAATCAATTCAGGAAATGGATGAGAAAGTTACTAAAGAGATAAACATTTAAAAGAAAAATGAAAAAAAAAGAAAAATGAAATAGAA